GGGACCATTTGCGGGACCCCCTTCTAAGGCTCTGGAGCAACTATAATGAAATATGGACTTCATGCGGTTGCCAGCTATGTTCATAAAAATTTGACCAATCTTTTCTGCTTGTGACCCGAGACTCCCTCGAAAGGGGGACATTGGGCTCTGAACGTAAAGGTAAACCAGCGGCCAACTGTTGTTGCAATAACATATAGGTTTTTTATTGCGACGAAACTGGTTCGCGTTTGGGCGTTTCATCGCTACGCAGTTTTGCTTGCAATAGGCTGGTATGCTGAGCTAGGGGCAAAAGTTGTGACCCCACGCGAGACTCGAACCCGCCTTCCACTTACTTATACCGAGTGAATTCGCAACCCGTTACGCCACTAGTGCGCTCTCTTAGGCTGCGTTCATACTTTGCGGCAGCGTCCACCAGCGACCACTAGCGTTCCGAGCGTCCGGCAGCGTCAGCGACTAGGAAAATATAGATATCGATCTAGCGTCTGCCAGCGTCTCCCATAGTCTGCTGACGTCTGCCAGCGTCCACCAGCGACCGGGAGTGGAGAGTATGGGGAAGTAGGAGGGTAGCAAACAGCTGGATTAGCGTCGTGAAATTGCGGCGTGTGCAACCGCACCGTACAACTACACTACACCGTACATTAAATTGCATAATTCTGTGCTTTAGCAGTTGTGCGGTGCGGTTGCACACGCTGCGAATTCACGGCGCCTAATCCAGCTGTTGCTATCCTCCTTCTCCCCAATACTCTCTACTGCCGGTCGCTTGTGAACGCTGGCGGACGCTCGGAACGCTATTGCTCGCTGGTGGACGCTGATGGACGCTGCCGCGAACTATGAACGGAGCCTTACCCTGTGGCTTTCATGTATAGCGCACGTACCCGCTAAGCTGGGCGCGGGTTCGAATTCTGCTTGGTGTCAAGACTATTGCCCGCAGTGACAGGTACTAGTGACAGCTTTTGAAGTGCAAACTTCGCTCTCGAAACCGGTAAAGCTGTCAGCCCCGCGGTTCATCGCTGGTACTGCCAAAGGGCTCATCACTTTGAATGT